TCCAACTCGTCGAGTTATCTTATTAACTCGCCGAGTTTACTCTGCAGACCGAAAACGGGAAACCCCGCTCCAACTCGCCGAGTCGCCAGGGCAACTCGTCGAGTTTTCCCTTGTCTTAACATAATCAGTCCTTCCAGTCGAACCCAACCCTCCAAACTACAGATCCAGTCCCTTAATACTGAAATACCACATAAAGTTGCAAACTTTACGTGCATGCAAGGCCCCAAAAGGTTAAAACACTAAAACTAGGGTTCATACAATGATTAGGGCATGGAAAAGGGCCTAGACTAAGTAAAGGGAGCAACTTTATGTCCATGAAGACCTAGAGGTGTCTAGATCTGGAATCATATCCTCATGACAAGTCCAAATCCGAGTATGACACCATTTTGCACCAAAAGTGACCATATACTTTCATAAAATGAGATCTAAGCAAATAGAGATCAAGGTAGCAACTTTTTACCTCTAAATGCATGCTAACACCAGGTAGATGTCGGATCTAAAGCCCTCTCCTCACTTGAACCTCTTTAATATTCAAGTTTCCTTCCAAAAAGCTCAAGATTCACTCTCCAAAGCTCACACACACAAGAAGGCACTAAAGCGCGGTTAGGGTTTTTCTTTGGACAATTAGGACGATGAGGGAGGCCACAAATGACCCATAAGTTCCTTAAATATGGTACTAACCCCTGAAAATTAGGGTTTTCCTTTACAGTGTCTACTCGTCGAGTTGAGGCCTTCCAACTCGTCGAGTAGACCCTAAGTCCCGCGTCCAATATCGATCTCTACTCATCGAGTTAGGCTCCCCAACTCGCCGAGTCCCAGTGCAAAACCCTAAAAACTTGAAAATTAAATGATACCTGGAACAGGCGTTACATTCACCATGCTTTTGATCTTCGAGATAATACAACTTTCTCTTCTAGTACCATAGCCAAGAATCCTCTGGGTCTTGATATCCTGGAACATACATTCATCAGGCCAAAAGGTTGTGAAACAATTCAGATTTTTTGTACTTTGTGATATGGACAATGGATTAGAAGATAACTAAGGAATAACAAGAACGTTATCAAGATTCATGGAGTCTGATATGTGTACTGGTCCTTCACAGGTAACGCGTGCAGATCCTCCATTGGTTGTGAGGACTTTAGATTGTTTAGGATTACAAATAGATACGCGTTTACATGGATCATTTGTCATATGATCAGTCGCTCATGTGTCAATAATCTAGCTATCATCTATAGTATGATTAGTTTCAGACTTACCATATTCGTTCACTTTTTCAACATGTGCATCAACGGGAGCTGATTCATCTTTTGTGGAGATGGCGGTTGTTGCTTGGCCTATCTTCTTTCGAGGCCTTTTTTAGAAGTCTCACCACTCCGGATACCCAATTATCTCATAGCATCGCTGCTTTGAATGTTCCTCTTCTCTACAAAAGATGTTTGGTGAAAGCGGAGTTCATGCATATATAAGATCTAATTATAAGTCGGTGCGATATAATGATGGGGGTCACGGGGGACGCGCCCCATTGCAGGGTCCTAGGGGCAATGCCCCTAGCAGGGTCCAAGGGGCAGAGCCCCTGGCGGTAACCCTGCTGACCGGTCAGTGGGCAGGGTCGAGGGGCAGCGCTTTAAAAGGTCTTCGGAAATTTGAATTAGTTTAATAGTGGAAAATCTGAATTCTAGTGGGTAGTTATAGTAAGATTGAAAAATCTCGTCAGTTTTGGAAACTATTGATTATGTCATTAGTTTGTGATTTGTTTAATTAATTTAGAAGATGGAAACCTTAATATGTCAAAGTATAAATGCAACACCTCTATTGAGCCGTCAAGAGAAAAACTTTTCTCAACTCTCCTTCCTTTTAGAACAAACTCAGAACTCTCTAGCAATTTGGCTTACGTTTCTGTGCCCGAATTCGTGAGTGTCCTTTTCGATTACCGTAGACTGGATTTTTTGTAACCCGGACAAAGGTTGAAAATATCAGTTCAGAAAGTGACCTTACAAGATCCATTAGGAATCCGGTTCTCCACCATGACCCTACTAATATTCCCCCAACATTACATGTCTTAGACTTTGTTATGCTAGTAGCTCGTTTACATTGTTAATATTTCAATATTTAGATATTTGAACATCAAGTAATTAGTGATGTTTAAATTATGAATTAATATATTCTTGATACGATATTTTCATCAACGATATTATTAACATGTTTAATCCATGAATGATTATTTGTTATGAATTGCGAGTGGTCATGAATGAAAATTGATGTCAATATTGATAATATTCATAAGGATGAATACCCATCTTACAAAGAGTCAACTTCATATGTATTTACAGATGGTGAATGTTGGGTTTACACAACCTCAAAATGTCATTTCATGGATCAACGTTATTAGGTGTATCTTGAAAATGAATTGAATCTATATCCTTTGACATGAGATCTTTTTCAAATTAACTAGGCGAATGCCCGCGCGTTGCGCAGAAACACCTATATAGTTGAAGTTTTTAAAAATATATGTTTTTTTTTAATATAGCAATAACATTGTTGTTAAATTTGATATAACAATTCATATACTAAATTGATATAATATATTGATTATTTTGAATTATATGATAATATATAAATCTATTATAACTGCATAATGTCAATCGTTTGAATGACTTCTACCCGGGAGTTACACATGAATAAAATTAAATATAATATATGGTTTAATGTTATTTATAGTTGTTGTTATTGTTAATTAATTTTTTAAAATTTATTTGCTTAATGTTTTAATTTCTATCATTATAATTATTTAAAACATCAAATATTATTTTTTTGATTTTAAAGGTAACAATATAATCATTTATATAGAGTTATTTTTAATTATTGTTATTTTAAGTTATTTTAAGCTGCTTATTTGAAAACTTTTAACGATTATAAAAATATCTTTAGGAAATATTTTAGTTAAATTGATATTACAATTTAGTTTTGCATTTATAACTACAATTTATCACTTTTAGCTACTTACAAAATATTCTTTGGTTTTTTAAGTGAAACTGAAAATTATATTTAAGTTGACAATGTAATGTTATATTTAAATTAACAATTTAAGTATTTTATCCAAATTGTTCAAAAGTTGTAGTTTTAAATTGATAATGGTTTATATAAAACAACATATTAAATCTAATAAATTAAGTATAATATGTTAAAAGTTAAAGACATAACTTTATAAGTAAAAGTAAAAATATTATTTTAAAATTGAAATATAGTATATTTATGATTATATTTTAGGTTTGATATGTTTTTAACCTTATTAACCAACTTATAATCATTATTAGAAAGACACTACAATTAATCATTTTTAACTATTTACAAAATATTCTTTGGGTAATTTAAGTTAAACTAAATTTTATATTTACGTTGACCCTATAATGTTATATTCAAATTAATAATTTTAGTATTTTATACAAATTGTTCCAAAATAGTATCTTTAAAATGATAATAGTTTACATCCAATAATATATTAAAACTAATAAATTAAGTATAATATGTTAAAAGTTAAAAAATATAACTTTATAAGTAGAAGTAAATATAATATTTTAATATTGAAATTTAGTTTATATATGATTACACTTTAGGCTTGATATTTATTTAACCTTGTTAACCAACTTATAATTATTATTAGAAAGAAATTGAAAAGTCATGAGAGTTTCAAATAAATGTGGTGAAAAGAAAAATGAATGGAAGTTTCAAATGAATGTGATGAAAGGAAAAATGCTTCCTTTATAATATAGTATGATATGTAATTATTATATAGTTGGGAGGCTGTGATAAAATTGTTGGGTTTCACTTCATGACAATCACAAAATGAATAATTATAAAATAACAACATTAAAACAGTTAACCAATATTAGATCAACTAAAGGACCATATGAGCAATATAGAATGACCCAAGTATATTAATGTAAACATTAACATTGATGTGCACTCATTTCGATGTAAGGACGAACTCCATGAAAGGCAGAACCGGTCTAGTTCCCATCTACGCATGAGTGCAATTACGGTGCTAAGGTAGTGTCCTAGGGTTTAAGATCAAAACTCTAAGTATGAACGAACTAAATACCTTACATTGTACTCTAAGAACCCTAAATAACAATTATACTTTGTCAAAGATAGTCGTAAGGTCAGATAGATATCATGTCCCTTAAAGAGAGACATATTAGTTTTTCACCAGGGGCCAAGCCCATGTATAAACCACATGGTGAGACACGTAGGTGCCAACCATGCCTATGTGTGTCTATTTTGTATCTATATATATTTTTATATGTATAGAGTTCGGGGGTCTATGTCTACTTTCTCATATTTGTACACTATATATACATAAATATCAATCATATACTCAGAAATTGTCCATTTTACAAAATGTTGATGCAAAAAATAAGGTTATGCGATGAGGATGGTGCAATGAACTAAAATATAATTAAGGGGATAAAATAAAATAAGAATAAATAAGAATCGGTTAGGTGTACAAAATGTATAAGTATATTGACTAGTCAATAAAGAAAACCAAAAAAAATTATGCTCTCCAATACAAAGAAAAAAAAAAAAAACTTGTATTGGAGATGCTCTCCACGTGTGAAAAAATGACACCATCACATATCTTTCAATAGAAATAACCCAAACAATGATACCCTTGTTAAACAGAGGAGACTAAACAATGTGCATAAGAGTGAAATTTACAAAATGTTTATAGTTTCAAAATTAAATCAATCTGGTAAATAGCTCAAACGATGAGGGAGAATTTGGGAAATCTCTTCTCCAATTATCAATATTGTTAAGAACATCACTACACTTCTTGACTTGATCCTGTTTCTTTTCTATTCATCAAGCAACAATCTTTCAACAAAATACCCATTTTAACCTCAGAACTAAATAAACAACCCAAAAAATTACCCTTTTTCTATAACAATCAAAGGTAGTAAAATCAAAAAAACAACCAAAAGAAGCAAGAAAAGATTGCATTTTTATAATGAAGATGCATCAAACAAAACTTGATTGAGCACATCATCATCACCATTTGCCACCTCAAAGAACTCTGAATCTTTATCATCATCATCATCAACATCATCAGCAAAACCCCTTTTCTCAATCTTTGAATTAGCAGCAATAAAAATCAACTTCTGAGCTTTTTCAATTGAGTTTCTTGATTGAGTCCTCTTTGAAAATGACCAATTCCATTTGAACCCACATGAGGTGGCATGTAAAAAGATCAACCTCACTGCAACTTTTCTTAAAGATTTGAATCCAGTTAAATAAGTTTCCCAAACTAACCTGCTACTTTGTGGATTAGCTATTCTCATTTTACCCGTAATTGGGTCTCTTTGTTTCAACTGCACTGCTTGTGCATATACAGGATCAAGTCCTTCTGTTCTCCATTTCATAAGCTCCATTAAAGCAATATGAGCTTCTTCTCTTGAAACAAGTCTTGTTATAAGCTTATCAACATCTTTTTCTTGTTCAGAAGTTAAGTATTTAAAAGGGGGCAAGTATTTCCCACTTGTGTCTCTTATCAGATAAAACGGATCAAGTATGAATGCAGCTGCCCAAGCAGGGTGATAGTTTCTCTTAAACCTTTTATCGAACACCTCGTCTACATGCGCTTCATTGATCTGAAACTCCACACACCAGTTCTTGATTTTCGATCTAAGCTCTTCCCAGAGTGGCAAACACTGCCCAATTCGTGGCTTTTCTTTCTCGATTTCTTCAGCCATTGCTTTGATTAATTTCACTAATGAATGAACTGCCTCTAATTCTTTCCAAAATTGAGAATCCCTCATCATCTCTTCGACCTCCCTACCAACTTGATCCTCCATTGAAACTATCTTATACCCTTCATCAAGCAAAACCAATTGTAATGCTCTTGCTGAGATTAATATATCTTCAATCATATTAAACACAGGTTCGAATGCAAACGCATATCTTACGTCACTTCCACAAATGGGTACTCGCAACAACCATGCACGACTGTATTCTTGCAACTGATACTTGAGGAAAGAGTTCTTGACTTTAGAATTGGTGTTCATGAAGTTTGCTATTTTGAAACAATTATCGGTGACAATATTGAACAATGGGAGTTCTTTGTTAAGATCTTTAATCAAACCATAAACTCCTTGAAATTGGCAACAGAGATTGATCATCCAATGATGTTGGTTTTCGAGATTTCTTAACGCTGTAGACTTGAATTTATCAGAAACAATCCCTACACATCGTTGCGAAATGTTCCCACAAATTTCACTAATTGTTTCCATTAAAACATCTTCAGCATACTTTGGGAAAACGTAACCACTTGTGAAAACAGCTCGTCTAAAAACACCAGTCCCATTTGGCAAATTAACAGATAAATTCACCAAATTTGCGAATTCACCTGGATGATGATTATTACTATTTGATTTCCACCCATCTGATGAGATTTGGAAGAACATGGCTTCGCGAATTCGAGTTTCGGATTCTCGTTTTGCCTCTTTGTACTTGGAATCGAGTCGTTCTCCGGCGAAGTCACTACGGGTCACCGCTGGTAATCCGATTTGGTTCAAGAAACTATTGAATTTTGGGTGCTCCAAACTTGAAAATGGAACTGACCCACAATTTTCATACACCCAATCTGCTAATAATTCGAGTGATGAATCGATTTGGGACTTTGTTAAAGTTTGATATGGTAATGATTTCGGGCTCTTGAGCCTTTTCACACTATCTTCAAACATCGCCAGAGCATCCAGATCCTCCTTCCCGCCTGATAACATCACATGCTGCTGCTGAGAATACAATCCACCGCCGCTTGCATTCACCACAGTCGCCGTCGGCAATGCTGGTACGGAACCATTCCGGTTCGGATAGGATACGTCGCCAGGAAATCGAGCCGGTTCAATCATCGCAACAGGAGCAGCCGAGTAAGTTGGAGAAGGGGTGGCGGAGCTGGTGTTAGCACCATTGCTACCGTCATCGTGGCCACTACGCTTGCCGGAAGAGTTACGTTTGCGGTGGTTTTGCTGTAGATGAGGCGAAGACGACGAGGTTGGGGAAGACAAAGTGGCGATTCCGATAGGTGAGATGGATGAAATCGGTCTTGGATTAGTGTCAGGGTTATAATTCCGACAAGTTCCTCTCTTGAGATGCTCCGACGCCGTTCTTGATGGATTTGAGGCGGAGAACACGGCGGCGCATAAGGAGCACCGGAGCTTGACGGCTTTTGGTAAACCCGAATCAGGATTATGAACCAATACAGGCTCCAGATGAGCCCAATACCAAGCTCCTTTACCCTTAATTGCTTTTGTCCGTACCATCATTAATCCTTCATACCTTTTATGAACCTTCTTCACCGTCATCTCATCGGTTAACTCCGGTGGTGGTTGAGTGGTGGCTATGGTAGTCTCCGCCGCCATCATCACAGCAAAACCTTCAAATATCTTCTAAAAGATGACTTATTTTATGTGGGTCTTTGTAGAAACTGAATCTTGTAAGGAGGGGTATTCTTGAAAGATCGAACCTTTTGTTCCCCATAACATTTTTCTCATGAAGGGCAAGAACTGGAGGTGGTCGTTGGTGGCGGAGGTGTAGCTCCGACGGTCTACAGGTGGGTCGTTTTCAGCTGAAATGGATGTTAAAATTTGGGGGAGTGAGAGGTGGTATGTGGGCGAATGAGGGGATGTCAAATAGGGGGTGTTGGGACACATTTTTAATAAAGAATGGTTACTGTTGCCTGTGGGGTATCTCTAAACTTAAATACTCCATAATTTTCCATTACATTATATTATATCTATTTATTTGTTTTAGAATTATTCATAAAAAGTATGTTTCTTTTGGTTCATAGTTTAAATGTGTTTTGTATTATAATCAAGTATACCATATAATTATTGATCAAGTAACTATTAAAAAGTCTTTATGATAGAATTAACGTTTCAAATATCATTATATAACTGCTGATAAATAGTAGAGGAGTAAGAATTATAGGTTAATTATCAAATATTAGTATTTTTTTAACAATCCATAACTATTACATGCTAATATCACCTTTATTTTATTAAAAAACGTTTCTTCTATTTTGTTTGATTATTTGATGAAATATTTTTATTAGTGTAAATGATATAGGTTAACTATTTTATTTATTTTAATGAACGAAATAGCATTTATATATGTATTTAAAAAAATTAAAATTAAAAAGAAAAATATACCATATCTCTTTTTGAGAAGGTCATTTCTATGATACTTTATGTCTCTTAACTTTAATTTTATAGAAAAAATGCCTTATTTTAAGAATATTTATTTCAATAAGTTTGTTTAAATTCAATGTTTATATACTCTTAGGTTGGTCAGAGTAGGAGCAACACATTGTACGGTGATGATAAGGTGGACCTTTCATGATACCGAAAAAACCACATCCTAGGTATTTGGTTTGCCACACAGAGTAGGAGCAACGTGTGTGCTGCATGTAACACTTGCATGTAACACTGGATACTCCTCTTCAAACCATTTTCACCTTACTTTAAATTATATTATTCAACATAGATTTGTTTTAATTTTTTTCAATATGTTTATAATTTAATAATATTATAAATGATATTATAAATAATTTGAGTATATTTTACATAATTTTAAAATCAATTGGTAAGTTTCATATAAATATTTTTTTTGTCACGTTGTCTATAACCAAATATTAATAAATTATAAATTTAATCACTAAAATTACCAAATTTATTGAAGCTAATCGGAAAAATAACCATCGTCTTTAAAAAATTAACAAAATGAATATGTTGTTTGCTAAATTAACAAATTTTATTTATTTATATTTAGCAAATATTATGTTTAATTATTTTATATAAACATCTATAAAAATCATATTATCACAACGATCTTTATATTTGATTTACATATGATTAAACTAAAAAAAATGATTTAGAATTATTTTTAACTATTGTATTATTAATTAAGTTTATTGCAACAACTTGTAGACGTTAAATAACAAACAAACTTCTTATTACAGACTGCAACCGTTTGGTCAACCTCTTTTGTTGCAGATGTGATCTGCAAACTTCAGATGTTTTCGCTTGGAAAAAACAAACAACACCTTTGTACTCTTTCTCCTTTTTTTCTCTTTCCTTTTTTTTTCTCTTTCCTTTTTTTCTTCCAATGGTTGCATGTAATGGTCTATATATATATATATATATATATATATATATATATATATATATATATATATATATATATGTGTGTGTGTGTGTGTGTAGGATCAAATAAGAAGGAGAATTTTGAAGAAATATGGACCATTAAACTAATTTAAATGCATTTAATGTTTCCCTAATGGAACTGTTGAATTAATGGAATGGGTAATTCGATTGGAATGAAGTAGTAGAAAAACAAAGGAAAGTACATTGATATTTCTTTCATTTATCCCCTGATTAGGCTAAATGTAATGTGAGTGTGTGTAGATGCATGTGAATGTATCTATATATGATTGTTGTTAGGGAGGGGGAGGGGTATACTGGTTATTTTGAAGCAACCAGTGAATTGGTGTGCATGTGATTGTATATATGTGTGTTTGTGGCAAGGTTATTTTGAACAATTTTATTTGTCAATCTGATTGGAAGGTTCATCTAAAAAAATGTGGAACTCGAGAGTACAACTACGAATGTGGGACTTTGTTTCTAAGGTTATATAATTGCACATGTATAAACGTCTTTCATTTTAGTTTAAATATTGAATGTTTCTTTTTTTTCATGGATGGATAGCTTTATCACCAACAAATAATTTTTGTGATGCATTAACATTAGAGACTTCTAAACCTAAAAGTCAACTAGAAAATGAATATGCCAAAAAAGATGAAGATCCAATACCCTAATCTGTATATTTAACACCATGCTCAACCTCAACAACATCATATCCCCACCCACCACCTCCCGTTGCCACCCTTATATCGCATGTAACATCTTTGATTTTGTATTGCAAAACCTTCAGTAGTGATCAATTTTTCTAAATTTAATGAATAAGAACAGTAATGAGAATAGGATTGAAAAGTAATGAAATTATGTTTTATAATGCAATAAATAAATAGCAAACCTATTAGACCATATTTATAATTAAAAAGTAACAAACTTCGGGGGATATTGTAATTTAGTCTTTTTTTTGTGCAAGAATGTATAATAGTTTGTTGTAAAACATGGAATAGTGAAATCGATTCATCATGGAATCCTTTAAAAATATCCTCTTTGATGAAGATCGTTATGTTTATTGTATATATGATATTTACTGCAATTACATCTTTTATCCAGGTGAATCTTAAGGTTTTTTTATGGCTATATTCCATTTAAGTATGATGACGACACTCGTGTCTTTTGAAAAAAATCCAAGTTTGTGACAATTAAGGGAAGCATGGATATATAAATTTGGGTGGAGTTGTAGCCATCGGAGATCTGTATGATCATTACATAGGTACATTGAATTTATATTTAAAGTACTTTGTTTTTTTGATAATATACCATATGATTTTTGCGATTAAAGGGAGCATTCATAAACCATGGTCAAGCTATTTTTATAAATATAGCTATAGAATTTGAAATCTTATATATAACTACTTTTGGTAAATGATGTTATACCCGATAATTACCACCTAAAATGTTTTAAGAATTCTAAACTCTTTAAAGTGCTAAAAATAGTGATTCTTTGGACTTTTTGGTGGCTTCATCCTACTTCCCAGGAGGAAAATTCGTAAATGTATTAAAACAAGGAGCATACATAATTTACAGGGAAAAAAATTGTTTTTCGTCTCTTTTTTATACGGCTTACAATTGTTTAAAAGAAGGGAAATGATTGGTTTACCCTTGTGTGTAACGAATATGACATGTGCTAACAAAATCTTTTAAGTGACGTCCAATTCGGGAATTGAAAATGTAATGAAATTACATTTTAGAATTTTTTTTTGAGATATAAGGTTAGTTTTTTTTAAAAACAAAGTGACTCTAAAAGGATAATACACAGATTGTGCTTCATTATTAAATAATTTATTTGTGTTTTCTTGCTAACATCATCAATGTTTTGTGATATTACCAGTTTTATCATATTGTAATCATGTGCATCCTCTTTGCCATTTTTGGTTCATTACTTGGTCTTTGATTTCCTATTAATCGTATTATCAGGAGTTAGATCTTAGCAGTTTGGTGATGTAGACCTTCTATTTATCTGAAGTATGATGAAGTATTGTTGGTTTCATTTGATTTATGAAGTGAGATAAGGTGTAATACAACATAAATTGCATGTTTATGCAGAGTAGAGGAAATTTCGCCAAGAAACAAATTTGTTATTTTTTGATTTTGTGGACTTCTTTTACTTTCCAGTACTCATGAAGTATGATGAAGTATTATCCTCGTGTAATATATATATATATATATATATATATATATATATATATATATATATATATATATATATATACTTATGTTGTAACGTCTCAAATACCATAGTAAATTTTTGATTTTCAAAAGGGATAAAAACTATGTTTCCACAAGTGTAAGCCAAATCTTAGTGAGTTCCCCAAAATACATTACACAACAATACACATATAATTCATGCACACATGAGTCTACACAGATTATGCTTCATTATTAAATAATGTTTTGTGATATTACCAGATTATGCTTCATTATGCTTCATTATTAAATAATTTATTTGTGTTTTCTTGCTAACATCATCAATGTTTTGTGATATTACCAGTTTTATCATATTGTAATCATGTGCATCCTCTTTGCCATTTTTGGTTCATTACTTGGTCTTTGATTTCCTATTAATCGTATTATCAGGAGTTAAATCTTAGCAGTTTGGTGATGTAGACCTTCTATTTATCTGAAGTATGATGAAGTATTGTTGGTTTCATTTGATTTATGAAGTGAGACAAGGTGTAATACAACATAAATTGCATGTTTATGCAGAGTAGAGGTAATTTCGACAAGAAACAAATTTGTTATTTTTTGATTTTGTGGACTTCTTTTACTATCCAATACTTATGAAGTATGATGAAGTATTATCCCTGTGTAATATATATATATATATATATATATATATATATATATATATATATATATGTGTGTGTGTGTGTGTGTATACTTATGTTGTAACGTCTCAAATACCATAGTAAATTTTTGATTTTCAAAAGGGATAAAAACTATGTTTCCACAAGTGTAAGCCAAATCTTAGTGAGTTCCCCAAAATACATCACACAACAATACACATATAATGCATGCACACATGAGCTTACAGTCTGACTGGACCACCTCTCAATGTCTACAATACACCTGGACCGCTCTCCTGAGCCTACAACATGTAACACTCGCAGATTCAGGCTAGTCAATTTAGAGATAATAAGAGTTAAAAATGACTTTGATAGAAGATTATTTAGGAAAAATAATCTTAAAAAAAATTATAATATATGTAAAATGGATTTCGGAGATATAAGGAACGTTGAAATCCGACTTATAACGAAGAAGTTATAATATATGTAAATTCGTAGTAGTCGTCAACCCGAGAGCGTTCATATAAAGAACGTCTAAATCTGACTTCGTTTGAGGAAGTTATGATTTTTCTAAGATTCAACATAGAAGTATACAACTCATAAATCGATTAGATCGGTCGATTTTTAGCTGAAACATTAGAAACGATAATTGAAGATCTCGTTAATAGGAGTTCA